GACTCTGCTTTACCAAGCATGATGTCCTTCTCCAGGGACTGGTCCCTCCTGATAACATGTCCATAGTACGCGAGACGAAGTCTCGCCATCCTTGCTTCTGAGGAGCATTCTGGCTCCACTAAAATACTAAATACAAAAAAGTCATAACGTTGTCATTAACTTTGGCCTTGAGGTAGTTTAAGGAGAAGTTTGGTAAAGTTGGATTTTACAACTGTTAAATGCTTTATAATTTCTGTAAGACTTTTACACACCGAATTTAAATCTTCATCTCATCACGGGAAAGGTCAATGTAAGCCACGTTTTTATTTACATTTTACCTGGTATCAATTTTTCTTACATATTAGAGAAGATGAATTTCCCTTTTTCCAATGCTAAAAGTAAAAGGAGATATACGAGAATAAACTTTCCGGGTTCTTTAAATGTCATTTCCTTCCATAAGCATCTTAACCCACCATCATTCAAAGGGCAGGCCTTCTTTCCGGGAACACCAGACACATTAAAGCTCTTACACACAGTTTTTAAACAACTTTAACAACTCTAGAAGAGGGGACCACGTACCTCAATGTCAAACACAGTCACATAACACACTATAAGTAAGAAAGAACAGTATCAACCACTTTAGCAAAACCACTATTTCGGTTAGTCCTCAGGACAGCTCTGTGAGATAGGTATTACTATCCTCCTTTGCAGATGAGGAAAGAGAACCACAGAAATCTTAAGAAATCTCGAAGTCATAAAACTAGTACACCAGAACTGAAGTCCAGCCAAAGCCTATGTTTCAATCGCTGTCGTTGTGAGTTGTCTGTCTGACTCATAGCAACCTTACTATATACCAAACCATAATTTTACCTCCAAAATAACTTGGCTTCCTGTCTGAATCAAAAAATCTGAGAGTGGAAGAATCTTAGAAAATTCTCCTTCCTGAACACTTCATTTTGTAGATGAGGAAGCTGAGGCCCGGAGGACTTGAAATTAACTATCTCCAAAGGTAAGACTAACTTAGGTCTCCTGCCTTTGCATCTGGTCACCTGGTCTTCTAATGGCGGACCATTAGTTCTCTTGTTTATTTCAAACATCTGACTGTAGAAGATAAAGAAGTATCTGGATATACTCATCTTTCTCTACAATTACCCCCACATTCGTGTTCTTTCACTTCAGAAGAAAGAATGGGAGAAAGTCAAACAGTCTAGTAATTTTAAATTTTTTGAAAATTTAAAACAAAAACAACCCATCACCCCCACCTCTCCTCCACAAAAAGAATCAAGAAGAAGAGAAAAGGAGAGAAAAGATAAACGAAAAAAAGACAAAGGAAAACAGCAGCTTCTCTAGATTCTATTTAAAAAATTGGGATGATATTCCCCAGTTCCTCATCACAAAACCTCTTAGATCAGACAGAACATCAATTTACAGAACATGAAAATAGATATTATTAATACTGTTTAAAAGCAGCACTTGTAAATGCCACGGGAAAAGAAACACAATCATCTAGCTGAAAATATATAGTTTAATATTATAGTAATGTGCTGTGCTTCCAATTTCACTAACATGCTGATTTCATCTTAAATTCCCAACCTATAAAAGACCAATGACCGGCAGGGACTTCAGATTTCTTTACTACATTAAAGGGGGTACTTTAAAACAGATCGACTCTAAATTTGAAGTTTTAAAAGGAATTTAAACATGGATTCATTCAAGGCACAGGTATGTTGTCGTTAAGTGCTGTCGAGTTGGTTCAGACTCATAGCAACCCTACAGGACAGAGAAGAACTGCCCCATAGGGTTTCCAAGGAGTGGCTGGTGGATTTGAACTGCTGACCTTTTGGTTAGCAGACAAGCTCTTAACCACTATGCCACCAGGGCTCCATAGGCATAGGTATAAACCATACTTAATTTTTTTCATGCGTTCTAAATTGAACTGTGTCCCCCCAAAATATGTGGTGGAATCCTAACCCCTGTACCTGTGGACCACCACTTGTCTGTCTTGGAAGAAGTACAGCCAGAATGCTCCTTAGAAAGAAGGATGGCAAGACTTCATCTCACATACTTTGGACATGTTATCAGGAAGAACCAGTCCCTGGAGAAGGACATCTTGCTTGGTTAAGTAGAGGGTCAGTGAAAAAGAGGAAGACCCTCGACGAGATGGACTGACACAGTGGCTACAACAATGGGCTCAAACACAGCAACGCCTATGAGGATGGCACAGGACCAGGCATTTCATTCTGTTGTACACGGGGTCGCTATGAGTTGGAACTGACTCAACAGCACCTAACAGCAATATACCTGTGGATATAATCTCATTTGAAAATCGGACTTTCTTTGTTATGTTAACGAAGCCACATCAGTGCAGGGGGTGTCTAATCACTTCTGAGATATAAACGGAGCCGATTAAGCACAGAAACCAGCAAGCAAGAACGCAGGAAGGTGGATGCCACATGGAGATCTCCAAGGAGCCCAGGATCCTTGGGGCGAGAGAAGCTGAGACAAGGACTCTCCCCCAGAGTGAACCCAAAGACAGCCTTCCCTTAGAGCCTGGGCCCTGAATTCGGACGTCTAGCTTTCCTGAACGACGAGAAAATAAATTTCTGTTCTTCAAAGCCACCCATTTGTGGTATTTCTGTTACAGCAGCACAAAGAAACTGAGACAGCACGTCAACTTCTAAAAGAATAATTTAGATTATGCACAGAGACTTAAATACGTATAGAGAACAGAGCTAAAACATACACACGCGTAGGAGAGGGAAAGAACCTAACGGAGCTCCCGCTAAAAACTGGATGGCAAGATTACAGTCAGAGTGACCCCTGGGAGAGATCAAAACAGCTCTAACTCCTAGGCTTGAAATAAAGGACCATCCTAGGCATGAGTGGAGTCTGGCTAGACACTAGAAAAGCTCTTTAGAACAGCTGGGGGGGCTGTGCATTAAATCTTGCATTCGTTTGGAGAGAGTGCACCTGGGGGTGTGTGTTGGAGGTGGTGGTACAGATTGGGACACCTGAAAGAAGCGGGTATTTGTAAAGGATAGGGAATTCCAGGTCTCTACCGAAGAAACAAGGTGTCCATCCTATACAATTTATGTTAATGAAGCACCGATGAAGAACAGAGGAAGCAATTCAATGACCTAAACCTTCTGCCTTTTATTTAGAGGATATAAACAATTAACACAAGCTTTCTTTATTAGGAAGCCACGTAACTCTGCACCAGGTAATACTCTTATTACATGATTTACTTTAAAGAACAAAAGAACGTATCTGAAACCATTTCAGAACGTTTAATGTCTAAGGAAAAATCAACAGTGGAAGTTCCCCTTCTTCCAAACCCAGACAGAACCGATAACCCCAACGCAGACAGCAGTGAGAGTGTGTGTTTTAATGAAATGGAAGTGCTGCCGAGCAGGTTGTGGAATGTCACTCACTGACAGCATGAATGTCCCTCTGCCCGGGACCAGGGGCCCTCTCACAGTTCCCTCTGGTGCTAGGATACCGAGGTTAAACCAGACAGGAAGAAGCTCGGTAAACATCCTTTAACTGCTCTTCTGATCGACTACAAGGACGCTGTTGATGCTAGGGAAATGAAGTAGGGGATGCAGTGGGACTGGAGAGGGCAGGGATGCCCGTCCCCCCCTCCGTCCGCGGGTCTCACCTCCTTTCTCACAGGGGTGCTGTGCGCAGCGGCCACGAACTGCTCCAAGGCCTCTGGCTGCTCGGCTGCGGGCTCCGGGCCCGGCCCTGGTGGCTGTACCCCAGCAAGCCCCTGAGGACCTGCGGCCTCCTGGGTCTCTGCCTCTTGGTCCGGCTTGGATTCCGAGTCTGAACCGGATTCAGTCGTCATGGTTGATTGTTCTGCAAGAAGAAAAAGGGAAAATCCAATTACTCGGTACAGTCACCTTCCCTAGGAAGAAATCTGGGATGCTAAGTGGCAGGCTACAGAGAATCGCAATAAAACAGATAGAAAAATGCTAAAAATCAAAACACAATCTTATCTTATACACCTAATAAAACCAAAAAACCAAACCCACTGCCCTCAAGTCAATTCCAACTCATAGCATGACCCTATAGGACAGAGTAGAACTGCCTCATAGGGTTTCCAAGGCTATAGATCTTTATGGAAGCAGACTGCCACAATTATCTCCCAATGAGCAGCCGGTGGATTCGAACCACTGACCTTTCGGTTAGCAGCTGAGTGCTAAAACTGCACCACCAGGGCTCCTATACACCTAACAGATGACTTGTTAAATTTATCTGATGAATCTCAGAAATTTATAACAAAGGCAGTTGCCCATGAATGGTTCCACATTGAACATTTAGCTAGAAGTAAAATTTGACTTGTAATCATCAAAGCTTTATTCCTATTAGAAATTTGCCACAGATGATCATACAATGGCATTAAAGTCATTAAAATTAAACGACAGATGCATTTAATTTCACAAAAATCAATCTGTTACATCAGCTGAATATATACTTTTAATGTCTGGCAAGAATGATGTAATAATGGAAGAACACATTCTTTTTCAATTCCCTCTTCCCTTAGTATCTCCCCACTCTGTCCCTCACAGCCTGTGAACATGGGGATTCTTCCATGAAGAAATAAATGCTTTCCTATTATACTTCTCCTAAGTCTATTATCTTCTTTCATATTAGCAACCACAGCTGATACGGAGGCTTCCTAAGCGACGTGAAATCTGTCTCAGATCGGACAAGGACTTGCCCCTGGCCAGGAGGAAAGCTGACCAGCACACCTCTCCTTCCCTTCCAAGTTGATTCTCATATTCCTTTCTAGCTTGCCTCTATATTTCTTGAATGTCAAAAGACAAGTCTGACTGTGTCACATCTCATAAAGAAATCAAAGATCTTGAAATACAGTAATCTCTCAAATCCTGAAAAAGAAAGAAAATAAGACCTTCTAAAATATAACTAAGTTTGCTAGTCAAGACACTTAAGTATTTTGTGCCTCTGTTTCCACATCTGCCAAACGAGGGAATTAAACACAATCGTATGTATTGTGGGTTGAACTGTGTGCCCCAAAAAGATATGTTCAAGTCCTAATCCCTAGTACCTGTGAATGTGACCTTATTTGGAAACAGGGTCTTTGCAGATTTAACGAAACCAAGATGAA